CACCAGCACATTCTCGTACGGTTCTGGAGTAAGAGTATCGGGAGACATAAGTAAAAAAATTACATGCACGCCCGCACAGCCATGTTATCTCTGTGTGTACACATACACGCATGTGTGGGTGTGCACATATACACACACGTAAGTGAGCTAGCAGTTACACTGCATTGTTTGCAAGGGCTGCAAAGTAACCTGAACCGTCAAGTAATTTAAACGTAGTAACAAGTAGAATCCAGAACCAAACATTAACTAATAACAACAAATAACAATAATAATAATAATATAATAATTCAACAAATCATTAGAACAAGGAAACCACACCTTAGAGTTTGTGTGTGTGTGTGTGTGTGTGTGTGTGTGTTTAGACAAGTCTTTGTATCAGAAGCCCATTTTCTACAAAAACTGCACTAATCCATTACTGTATTAAGTAAACTGTCGCTCTCACCAGTATTAAAGGTTAAGATAATTTCTGTACATGTAAAATTATTGCTTTTTTGAAAAATATATTTAGCATGCTCATTTTAATCCATTTCCTGCCTTTACAAAATTTCACAATTAAAAAAAAAACCTAGTAAAGCTTTTGCAAAAAATTTCACAGAACATTTTCATTCAAGGCAGCAGTAACTTTTGATAATGCATAAAATCATATGTGCAAAAATCTGAGACTCTCAGAAATATTACCATCACACATAGTGTCACGGCAAAGGGAAAGAAAATATTTATATCTGTGGAGTACAACTTCAGCTGCGTACACTGCACGGTTGAAGATCCTTGCTATGGCCTTAACCCCACCACACAAACTTGCATTTGCGTTACAGAGGAAGAGGTATATAAAGCCGTCCCCCGCGGTGCGCGGCCCCCACCCTCTGTGAATGAGGTCACCAGGCCCAAGGAGAAAGGACACCTACTTGTTGGGGGTTCAGAGGGGACAGGGGATGAATGAGGTCTGGGGGTGGGCAGGGGGGAGCAGAAGGTCCAGAGCACCAGTGCCCTAGCAGCCTAGGACCTGCAAACTGCCCGGGGACCCTTCTGCCATCACTAACGCTGCACTTGGGGGGTCAGTGGCTAAATAACTTGTTAAGACGTGTTGTCTTCCTTTGTGAGCAGTTTGCAGAATGTAGCCCTGTTACAAAAAGGTCCTGAGAATAAACAAAGAAGCCTGCTTTGCTTAGTGTTCAACTGGCTCTCTTTTCCAGAGCAGAGGACACGCACTCCCATGGACATGTTTCCTTTGCCGGATCACTCGGTACACCCGCTGGGAAGCGTGGAACAAGCACATGGGACATGCTGGCCGTGGCCTCCGGGGAAGTGCACGGAGCCACTGCGCACTGCCCGCTCCACCCCGCCTGCCTTCCACAGCACCTGAGCACCACCTCCCTCCCTGCTTCCACCACGGGAAACCCCTCTAGGACAGGAGAGGCAGTAGTATCAGACTTCCTCCTCCTCCACTGCACGCTTGCTCTGCCCTCATCTCTACAGCCCTCCACGCACGGAGGCCCCACTCAGTGCTGGCTCCACTCGCCCACTCTGTCCCACAAACAGCAAGTCTTTTTCCAGTGTCTCCAACTTGTCATGAACAACACAGAAGCCTCGTGCTCCTGCCTCCCGTGCCTGCCAGCACCACCGCGCATCATCGGAGCACATGGACCATGGCTGAGGAGCACACGTATGCATACAGACTATCTACATGTATGCTAGAGCAGAGCATCTTCGTTTATTTCTAAACGCTGAGCAAGGAGAGGCATCTCCCTCCGTTCCGCTCGGCACGGTGGCTCCAGGACTTGAGGTGTCTGGTTGAGAGTCCTCCAGCTGCTTGTCCACGTGGTGGTCATGGTCGCTGCTGGAAGGCTGCAGGAACATCCGGGGGGACTGCGAACGGCCGTTACGGGGACCCGGGTATGCCGGACACGGGTCTTTAGGTTCCCTTTCGGAGAGGCACTGTCTGGGCGGTACCTGTGTTAGGATGGTCTCTCCCCTGGGGCAGAGAAAGGAGACAACAACAGGAAAGCTCATTTCGGACTTCGGTTTCTGAGTGCATTTTTCCAATTACTTTTCTCATCAACCCCAAGAACACAAGCAATGCCCCTCACAGAGCAAACCAGCCCAGAGGGTGAAGAGTCCCTGGTTGGCACCGCAGCTCAGCCCACACGACTGTGGGACAGTCACCGTTTGCTCTCTGCCTTGAGGACAGAGAGCTTTGAAAAATCACTTCCCATGATTAGAAAGGATCCCTGGGCTTCTCTGACTGCTTCAATGTGAAGTGGCAGACGATGCAGCCTGAATCAGTTCTGGGGAGAAAGGGAAACGACAGCAAGTAGGAGTAGGGTGGGATTCGGGAAAGCACAGGGCCACACTGACTCACGAGTGAGCCCCGGCTCCGCAGTAGGGCTGCGCTGGGGGCTGCGAACAAGAAGAGAAGCACAGCTCTCACCCAGCCTGGCAGACCTAGAGAGCTGCCGCCAAGCTCCACACATAAGCAGTATGCTGGAAAAATAAACGGTGTCCTCAGGTCAAGTGGACTACAACCTAAAAGTGAGAATAAACGTGAGCCTGCAGCACCTAGGGACGCTCTCCAATGACATCGAGCATCGCTGTGTGAACAGCCCTGTTTCCAGTCGGAGGACAGCAACGCCACAGCAAGATTCCTCATACTTCACTGCATTAACCGTCAGCTAACTCGGGACACAGTGAAACGGGCCGCCTGAAATGAACACGCGCACGTAAGCCACAGCACTCGTGTAAAATCCTAACTGGTCTCCAGCTATGCCCACAGGAACCTTAGAAACAAGAGGGGGAAAGGTCTGGTTGACATAATGGATTAAGTGTTTCTCTTTAGTTAATCATTTCAAAAAACTCCTATTTAAAGCTGACCCTATGTTCATGGCATCTGCTGGTTGGTCCCCATGCAGAAGAAGTCAGAAAAGTTTACCGGGGGCAGGGAAGGTGCAAAGGTGAAGACAACAGTTTACTTGGAAAGTACTGGGTTGTCGAAAAAGTCATGTTGTATTTTTCTGTTTGTTTTTTTTTTTTCCTATGCAAAAATGCATCATGACTTTTCTGACTACCCAAGAGCAAACAGTAACCCACTGAGAGATGTGATAAAACTTCCATAACTGACTGCAGTTTGAGTTCTGGACCCAGAGGCTTGAAACTCACACTGGTACACATGCAAGCATGTCCAAAATCCCAGAGGAGAATGGAGGAACCAGGACTGCATGGCCATCCCTCCGGAGGGTGATTTCTTGCTTTCCCTCTCTCTGTCTCTGCTGGCAAGCACACACCCTAAGGCAAAAACAAGGAAGGAAGGAAGGAGGAGTGAGTCTCAAGGAACTGTGCAAGATATTGTCATCAGTGTGGCTCATGGGACGCAGCTCTAGAAATCCAGAAGGAAAGTGGCCTCTGTGGACAGAGAAACATGGGGGTCATTGCTAGTTGCTGAGCATTTGGCCTTCAATATCTCCACTGCACATAGCAAACAGACCAGCAGGGACCCCATGAAGGAGCAAAGCCGTGTGTGAATATGGAGTCCAGGTCCCACACGGACGCCACCCCTGGCCCTCACACTGGGGTCCCACTCCTCCTCTGGAGCAGAGTATGTAGGCATGCATCAGGTCGAGGGACAGGGCGGCGCGGGAGCAGCAGGGAGATGCCACTCACCATAACAGACTGATGTCTTAGACCGTGTTATTTATTCTATTTGGGGGGACGGGCTTGCCTTAGGGCACATTCATTTGGGGGGTGTGGAGACAGTGAGAGGGGAAAGCGGGAAATCATCCCCCAGGGGCTTGGCCATGCTGCAATCACTTCTCCTTCTGGGATCTTGGGCATGAATGCCCACGTGCCTGACCTGATTTTCAAGCCACCAGGTCCTAGACTGGACCCGAGGCTGCCATGTCAAAGTCGAGACGGAACTGCTACGCCATGTGCTATCCCTGTCTTAGGCCTTTTAAAGAACATTTTCAAGTACTTATTTTAGAAGGACTGCGAGGTCTGGAAAACCCACACAGCTAGGCTGGTACACTGTCCACACCTGGGGCATGGGTGTTCGTCTCTCTACAGCTGAAGGGACGCGTTCGAATATCTCAGGTTTTAGAACTTGATAAACTACTGATCCATTGGGGCCACCATTTTGGTGTTCAATACGGCAGCCCTCCAGGCTATTTAAGAGATACATGGACTGTAGAAGAAAGGATCGCAGAAGTACTGAACTGGACACAGCATGGTGTTCGAGTTTATGCGAGTCGCTTTTTCTTCCTACAAGAAACAGGTGATCAGAACATGAGAAGCATGCTCTTAGAAAGTCTGACTTTTCATGCTCATGGCTGTGAATTGTGGGCATCTCAGTAATGCTGACAGAAATACTACCTTGGGCCAGCCAGTGGTGTAATGGTTTAGGTGGCTGGATCCCACATGGCTGACTGAGCGGCTCAAGTCTCAGACACAGCGGCTTTGTTAAAAAAGACTCACTGTGTATGTGTGTGTGTGTGTGTGTGTGTGTGTGTACCCAAAATCGCAAGAGGAGAACAGAGAAGAGACTGTGGCGCACCCACTGAGGCACTCTTTCTCTCTCTCCCTCTCCCCCGAGTCTCTCTCTGGTAAGCGCACATATCAAACAAATATATTTAAAAAAGAAAGAAATACTAGTTTTCAGTGTGCGGGGATATTCCAGTTTCTGGGACTTTGTGAGGTCTTCTCCCCCTTTTTTTCTTTATAAGACAAGGAAATGCAGGTGTAGTCATGGGCGTAGGTCGGTGATGTGTACACAAAAAAGCATACTCCTGCAGGGCGCGAGAAACTTCAGCCTGCAAAGGGAGGTCAGCTGCAGAGCAGGGCTTGCAGGAGACACCCAGCTTGGTGCTAAATGTTCAGTGTGCAGTCACACCCAACCCTACAGGACCAGGACTGGGACCCAGACCCAGCCAGCCACAGTACGCAGGACCCAGGAGACACCCAGCCTGGTGCTAAATGCTTAGTGCACAGTCACACCCAACCCTGCAGACCGGGACTGGGACCCGGACCCAGCCAGCCACAGTACAAAGGACCCAAGATGGAGTAACTGTGGACAAGCCCCTGGTAGCATCCACAACTTCAGCCAGCACGGTGCACCAGAGAAAGAGGCAATGAGTTCTAAGATGCTTGTTTGATGTTATGAATAAGAAAAGCTTAATCTAAAAGTGATACTGAAATCAGATTATACAGACATTCAAATGTTCTGACCTATGCGATTTTACCATCACTTGCATCCTTAATACCCTAGCTAAAAATAAGACAAATTAGGTTGCCATTTATTTTTTCATTTCCTATTATTTTGATTAATGAAATTATTATTCCAGCTTAACTACTTTAAAATAAAATTTAAAACAATAAGTAATAAACTATTAATCGTATCTTTAAATTTTGTTAAGGAAATCAAACAAATCAGAACACCTTTTTTTTTTTTTTTTGGAGAGGTTTTTGCTATAGGGCATGTGCGCTTGCCAGACAGACAGAGAGAGACAGAGAGACAGAAAGGAGAAATCACCCCCAGGGGGATGGCCACGCCGCAATCCCTTCTCCTCCATTCTCCTCTCAGGACCTTGGGCACGCACGCACACGCGCCCGGCCTGAGTTTAAGCCACCGGGTCTGGAACTTGAACTGTGGTCAACTACATGGGAGTCCAGTAACATAGCCATTATGCTAACTGCTGGTCCTAAGTAGGCCTGGTCTTTTTAACATTAAAGGAGAAGGCAGTGGAAAGGAGGTATTTTTCTTGGTGTTTAAGAATTATTTTCTTATGTTTAATGTCAATATAATGATAATTAAAAATTTCTGCAGACCAAATGAACCTGTTTTTCTCTACCACCCACAGGGTAGTAGCCCGCACATTCTGACGTGCTGTTCTCAGTGCCGTGATAATGAACACTGACGACCCAGGCGCACGCTCACGCGCTCCAGCTAAGTGGACGGCCATATACACCGGGCCCCGTCCCGCAGAACTGGGCTGGAGGAGCAGCTCTCCGTGTGATCAGAGTGCCTTTGACACACCAGGTGCCCGCAGCCCACCAGGCTTGGAAGAGAAGGCCCAGTTGTGGGTGCCCACTTGGGACGGCTCCCCCACTGCGGTGCCAACACCCTTCACGTCAGACCCTGACTGGAAGCAGCCCCCTGCAGATTCTACTGCGAGCCCAATCTCGGCCTTCTAGTGGTGCAGCCCTCTCGTGCTGGCTCTCGGCCCACCGCGGGAGGGCTCTTGGGGTAGGCTGTGTCACAGCAGCAGTGCAGCCAGGAGCACAAGGAAGACCTGGGACTGCCTGAGCACACGGGGCACAAAGGCCTTGAAGAAATAAATGTGCAAACTTTAAAAAGAATGACTGCTTGACTGCCTGGTTTTTGTGTCGTTCCCAGGATCTCATAAAGTGCATGCTCAGAGACAAAGTGTACGTGTGCAGAAAACACTGCCGCCTTGTAGACACAGCAGACAGAATGGCCCCGCGTCCCTCAAAGTGCACGGGTGTGCCCGAGAACCTCCACTCAGACCTAAGATGCAGTCAGTCCACTTTGGCAGACCCACCTGGACTGCCTGAAACTCGAGGCAGCTGCTGCACCGCGAGAAGGGCACGTCGCGCTATTAGAACGCTCCGCACAGCAGACTCACGCCAGGGTGGCGAGGCATGGCGGCTGCTCCGTGGTCACACACAAAGCCAATGTCTGAACACAGCACAGACACTAGGAACCTCGACCTCCACGGTACTTCTTTTTCTTTTCTTTTCTTTTTCTTTTTTTTTTTTTTGTTGAGAGTTTTTTTCGCTATAGTGCGCGTGCGCTCGCCAGACAGACAGAGAGAGACATAGAGACAGAAAGCGAGAAATCACCTCCCAAGGGGGATGGTCATACCGCAATCCCTTCTCCTCCATTCTCCTCTCGGGATCTTGGGCACGCACGCACACGC